ATAGCTTCAATATATAGTTTCGTCCGATTTTCAGTTAATGGTCCACCACAGCTCCAAAATATGGCCGATTGGCACAAAATTTCGCACAACCGATTTTAGGTCAATAATGAACCAAAGACCCACAATATGGCCTGTGGGCATAAAATGTCCTGAAGTTAGTTTAGCTCTCATATATATTTTTGTCCGATTTGGAGTAAATAATGCACCAAGAACCCAAAATATGGCCGATATACTCAAAACGTACTGAAGTTAGTATAACCTTGAACGTTGAAATCGGTTCGGATTTGGATATAGCTTTCATATATATTTTTCCCCGATTTAAAGCAAATGGTGCACCAAACCCCTCATTTTTGTCAGGTTGATACGAAATTTTGCACAAAGTACAAAAATGAGCAAAGAATGACGTATCTGCGTTTTGTAGAAATGCAAACATAGCCCGACTTCATGTTAATTGAGCTCCAAGTAATCAAGAGATGTCCGATTGAGATTTGCTTTAAGGGAACCCCACCCATTCTCGATTTTACTTTTTCAAGATTTTCAATGGGCTGGTAAATCAATACCAATGCTTGTTAAGGTTTGAACCTTTGCACATATATATTTGAAGATTTAAAAGAGAAGAAAAATAATTTACAAAAAAATTTTGTTATTGTTTTGTTGTTGTTTTTTGTAATTAAAAAAAAGTCCTTATTTTTGATGGCGGGCATCATAACTCCTCACTGGAACATCGGATTTTCCGAAAATTCCAACGGTGTTAGAAAGAGTACATGTATGGTTCTGTGGGAACTAGGATTATTGACTTCGCTCTAAAATTAACAAAATGGTGGACCTTGAATATATATTTTTGAAAATAACCGATTTTTTACCAAGAACCAAGTTAAAAAATAAGGAACCCAAAATATCACCGATTGGCTTTAAAACGTACTGAGTTAGCTATAACCAGAGAAACGTTGCAAAATTTGGAACCGATTGGATATATTAGTTTTTGAGTTAAAGCAAATGGTGCCAAACGCCATTTTTGTCAAAAAAAATTTTTGAGAAAAACGCGTTTAAAAATGAGAAGGCCTTCAGCCGTCACCTGATGCTGACACAATAAATCGGCTATATCTTCAAGAGTTCTTGAGATTTTCACTTGAAATTTTGTAGAGACTTCATGTTAATTAAGCTCCAATTAATCAAGAGTTGTCCGAATGAGTTTTGCTTTAAATTGATTTATATAATTTGATTTAAATTGATTTATATAAACAAACGTCTCTATAATGACATGTTTATGAATTGATCTAAATCGGTTCACATTTAGATAAATATAAAATATTTTAGTTCATCCAATTTCATGTTAATGGTCCTGTTGAATGTGGTGAAGGGTATCATAAAGACGACTTTACTATTTTCCTTACGGGATTATACTTGTGAAAGGTACAACAATATAACATGAATATTCTTGATGTAGCCAATTCAGATCCTTCTTACAAAATGGTAAATTTTCTAGAACGGATTTGATAAACAATTGACTGCAACACCATTGCATACAATCAAGTGATTTTATGTGGCAGCGCCACTTTATCAATAATTCACACACTCACTCTGTTCGCACACAATGCCAATATGAAAATCGATACAATAAAAACAACACAAAAAATAGCATTTGACTTTGAACCAGCACTAGAAAACAAGCCTCCAAAATTTAACAAAAATTTACGCTTTTTTGGCCATTGATTCGATCGACGCGTCGTTGGTGTTGCAAGAAAAAAACACGAAGTAAATGTTGCAGAGACACTGGCAGTGGTGGCTAGTTCCTCTCTCTCTATGGCTGTCTGTCCGTCTCTGTGTGTTTAACACCAGCAGCCAGCCATTGATTAATTTATGATGCGGCGCACAAAGTGCCATGGATGGACTTTATGGCTTTCAGGGCCAAAAAGTGTTACACAAAAAATAGAAAAAACGAACAGAATGTCTGATCGCATGGCATTGGCAGGCTGGATGGCTGACTGGACACCACTAGACGATCATTGACGATAGCCAATAGACCAAGCGAAGAGACAAGAGCAAATTGGGGTGAACATAAAGTTTATCTATCGGCAACTAAGTCAACGTCTTATTTGGACATTTTTGCATAAGTTGTTGTAGTTCGTTGTAGAATGGAGCGGATACGAAGCCTGCTTCTAGTATTACTCCAGCGTTGAGTGTGGCTACGTAGAGTGTGTGGTGTCATTGTGAATATTTTTGTGGCTTAAAGGCTTTGATGTTAGTTAACTATCCTAAAGTGTCATGTTCATGTCCAAGATTTTTGTTGTTATCGTTAGCTGTTGTTCTTGTTGTTGTTGTTACAGTTACTATTTTGTTATTTTAATAGCCAATTACTCACTCAGTCACTTTTCGATTGCGGGGTTTTTTTTGTTCTCTTTTGGCCTATCTTACACTTGGGCCACCATGGTCGCCAATTGTTTAGTTGTTGTTGTTGCTGTTGTATTACAATAATCGATCAAACAAACATTCTATTGCTGATAAATTAATGGGTTCTAGCAGATCATTGTGACACTTGATCATTAAAAGGCCATAAAATAATAAATGTTCTATATGTATACTATTTTTTGGAAGTTAGTGGAAGCCAGAACGCCGGCTTGTTGGTGGGTGAGCTGGTGAGTCGCAAGATTTAGTTGATGTTGGTTTTGGTTCTTTTGAAGTTCACAAAATTCTTGTACAACAACAATGACACCAATCTTTATTTTTCAGAGTTAATTTAAAATTATAAATAAGACAATCCTTTACAGAAATCAAAATACGAACAGGGTGTTCCAAATGGGGATGATGCGTAATGACAAAATTTTGTTGTTGATCTACAAATAACCCTGTCAATTTCCAACTGTCTATGAAAATTCACACCACCTTCATCTAGTCTGTAAAAAATGTATTCGGCTTCAGCTATTTTATAAGGTATACATACTTCAGAATCTATAGACTAATATAATGTCTGACTTTTACTATTTATTAAGACTCCCCTAGATCTTCTTATTTTATTATTAAAGAATTACTTATTTCTTGGCCTACAACGATAATACACAGTAAACTATAATAAAAACCAGTAAGGAAAGTAGTAAAGTCGGACGGGGCCGACTATATGATACCCTTCACCAACAGATGAATCCTAACAGACGTCGCATTTTTAAAGGACCAGTAAAATGAAATTGGATACATAAATATGTCATTCTGCAGCCGATACTACATTTTTCATTTGGATATAGAAGCTATATCTAAATCTGAACCGATTTCAGGAAACTTAACACACATCATTCTAGACCTAATTCATCACGCTGTGCCAAATTTCGTGCAAATCGAAAGATATATAGGGACTGTGGTGCACCATTTACCTTAAATCGGACGAAACTATATATGGGAGCTATATCTAAATCTGATCCGATTTTCTCGAAAGTTTGCTCACATCATTCTGGACCTAATTAAGTACTCTGTGCCAAATTTCGTGCAAATCGAATGATATATAGGGACTGTGGTGCACCATTTACCTTAAATCGGACGAAACTATATATGGGAGCTATATCTACATCTGATCCGATTTTCTCGAAAGTTTGCTCACATCATTCTGGACCTAATTCAATACTCTATGCCAAATTTCGTACAAATCGAAAGATATAGGGGAGACTGGGGCACCTTCGGCATCGGGGCACCTTCGGCAATCGCGTTTTCGATATGAAGCTCTCACCGTACATCACTAGTTTCGATATATAGGTATAGAGTATCGAAATAAATAAATGACACAAAGTTTGAAATTTCTAGCTAATAAGCTTATTTAGATACATGGGTTTTTGTATTTTTATAGATGTTTCTGTAATATTTCAATTCCATTTCGTAACTATTTCGTGTATAAAACTTTTGAAATTTTTAAGACAATATTATTAAAAAGAGGTTAACTACGATGTGTATTATTATAGAAATATTTAAAAATATAATGTTTTTACAAAATTGATCAAAAAAATTAAAAAAAACTATAAAAAGTATATTCGGGGTACATTCGGCATTTTAAAGTGGGGCACATTCGGCCATATACAGATTTGCAATATTATTTCCTTAAAATGTTTTTGAGTTTGTCTTTAAAACTAATCCTTTAATATGGTTCGAAATTGCATACATATATGAGATCAAACGTGCTTGTATTGACGAAAATGCGATAGAAAACCCCTATTTCTGATGGTGTGTGTGACCTTGAGATGTAAACGTCCGCTGCTAGAAAATAAAGCCCTATAATTCAAACATTGTGTGGCGTATTAAAACCAAATCGAGCCTTAAGAGGATCAGAATTTCCACCAGACTGATAGCGATGACAATTACCCGGCTATGACTATGGTGCCGAATGTGCCCCATCAAATGCCGAAGCTACCCCGGGTTGGGGCACATCGGCGAATTTGACTTTTTTTACAAAACTGTAAAATTTTTTAACTAATACTATTTTTTATATCTTTTTGGTACTATTTTTTATAATTTAGTGTCAGAGGACAGTAATCAGCCATAAAGTTGTTATATATGTTGAATAAGTACTGAGATATAGAGATCTAAAAAAAAGTGCCGAAGGTGCCCCAGTCTCCCCTATAGGGTCTTTGGTACACCATTTACCTTAAATCGGACGAAAATATATATCGAAGCTATATCTAAATCTGAACCGATTTTTCCCAATTTCAATAGGGTTCGTCCTTGGGCGGACGGACGGACACACGGACATGCATAAATCGACTCAGGAAGTGATTTTATGCATATTCTCAAAAGGAACCATGGGTCTATCTCGATTATTTTTGCCTGTTACAAACATATGTACAAAGACATAATACCCTGTACCACACGGTATTGAAGGGTATAAAAACCGGGAATTCCCAGGTAACATTCCAGCCCATCAATACCCCCATTTTATACAGGATAAAAATCCATTGTTAATTATTAGAAGCAACACAAAGGCATCGGTTTAGTCGGAAAAGAAGGAAGGCCCATGGACAATAATGTTCAAGACTATTTTATTATTGGTCTTGGCCACTGTCGTGTGTGCCGCACCCCAAGCCCGTATTGTTGGTGGCCGTGACGTGGATATTGTAAAACATCACTATTTGGTATCGATACGCTATAAGTCCACATCCAATGATGTGTATATACACAAATATGCCGGCACCATCTATTTCAAACGTGCTGTCATTACTGGCGCCCAATGTGTGGTGGGCATTAAAGCCGGAGAAAAAGTGACGACTGTGACGACTGTGCCTTATACTGCCCCAAAGTGCGTACATCATGCCACCTACTCCGATTGGACTGTGTATTATGATATTGCTGTGATCATTATTAATGATGTATTCGACTTCTATTATCCTCTGTTTAAACCAATTAAAATATGTCATTTACGTCCGGCCAATGGACGTTTGGTAACCCTTACCGGTTGGGATTATCAGCAGATAATGGTCCTTCGACAAGGGCACTTTCTGAAGCGCGAGTAGATGTACCTGTGTACATCTAGGGACCCTGTCTTCGTCACATCCAAGAAGTCGATATGCTTTAACATTTTTATAAAGACGCTCTGCTTCCATTCCAAAACGACCTAGTATTATAAAATACCACGGATCTGGTCCAGATCAAGACAATATAATAAGAAAGTCACCCTGCTTCAATACTTTAACTTCAAGTCCGTCAGTTCTACTCCCCTAACTCGCCTATAAAGACAATCATAATTTCATATCTTTGCCGAAGTATTAAGGTCTCTTACTGTAGAATCCTGTAGTATTCTTATTAGAAAACTTTGTAACGTGACAGTTTCACGCATTATAATATCTAGCTCCCCCGCTCATAGCTTGCTCCTCGCTCATAGCCAGCTCCCCGCTCTTTGACAGCTCCTCGCTTTTTGCCAGCTCCCCCCTTCATAGTTAGCTCCATACTAATAACCACTAAATTTAAACCAAACCCGAACCAGCAGACCAATAAGTAGCCGACATCAGGTAGCAGAGCAGCATCGAGCCGACTGTAGCCAGCCGAGTATTTTCGAGCCGATTGTAGCTATCCTATCTCCAACGAACCGACAGCAGCTAGCCGATCTCCAACGAACTGACAGCAGCTATTCGAGTATCTTCGTGTAACCAGCCGATCAGCAACGAACCAACATCAGCTAACCGAGCACCTTCGATCCGACTGTTACCAGATCCGACTGCAACCTCGTGTTTTTACTTAAGGTTTGTGGGTCCTTAGGTTGACCCTGGCAGCGACTGAGCTTACTTCAGCCTTAGTTAAAGCCACTCGTTATAACTTATAAACTCAGTTTATATATTTGCTTGAGAATTTTCGAAAGACTTTTTACCTACAATTCTTCAGTATCCTTGATTGAGCACTCATAAAAGTTCTTTCAGATACCTTCCCTACCAAAAGTACTTCTCTCGATCTCGACTCAGAAGGACAGCTAAGCTTAGCATAAAGACTCAATTCAGTTCGTCTATAGAAACACCTCGTCTATAAAGCCTTACTTCTGGTCGTCTATAACAGCTGACACCAGGTCATCTATAAAGGCTACCTTAAGGTCGACTGCTGGTCTATAAAGACTTCATTTAGTTCGTCTGTAAAGACTTCCCTCAGCTCGTCTGTAAAGACTCCCTTCAGCCCATTTATAAAGACTCCAATCAGTTCGTGTATAAAGACACCCTTCAGTCGTCTATAAAGACTCCCTTCAGTCGTCTATAAAGACTTCCTTCTGGTCGTCTATAAAGACTTCCTTCTGGTCGTCTATAAAGACTTCCTTCTGGTCGTCTATAAAGACTTCCTTCTGCTTGTCTATAAAAACTCGCTTCCCTGTGTGTAAAGATTCCCTTTAGCTCGTATATAAAGACTCCCTTCAGCTCGTCTATAGGCACACAAATCTCCGGACTGGTAACTTAACCTATCACCCCAATCCCAAAGTTTTTCTTTATATTCTTAATAATGGTTCGATCCACTTTGTAGCTATTGTTTTATTGTTCTGCTTCTGTTTCTGTTCTACTTTATTCTTCTTGATTTTTATTGGATTAGGATTACAATGTACATGGAGGTATGCTACGTTATGTTTGCCACTTTAATTGTTTCAGTAGCACCAGTTGAGCGGGGAACCCACAGTGTACATCCCATTTAAGGAAGGTGCAAGGTTAAATGATTTTATTTAGTCATTTAGTTCTGTATTGTATACACTTTATTATTTTCGTTTGTTATCTTCGTTATTATCCGTTGTTTTTGATACACAATTGGTTGGCTAAACAACAGTTAGCGCTGATTCAATTATAATGACAATTGAATGACTAACCCTATAATAAAGTGCGACCCCCATTTTTATGTACTTCGTAGAGGGTTAGATAGTAAATATGCATAGTAGAGTGGGTCGAAAAAAAAACAAGTTACTATAATCAAATAAGACACCCATCAGCCATAAAGACTCCCTACAACTCGTCCATAAAGACCCACTTAAGCTCGTCTATGAAGATTTCCTCCAGCTCGCCTTTAAAGACTCCATTCAGCCCCTTTATTAAGACTCCTTTCAGCTTCTAAATGAGCACCACCTTAAGCTTGTCTATAAAGACTCCCTTCAGCTCGTCTATTAAGAATCCTTTCTGCTCGCCTATAAAGTCTCCCTTCAATTCGTATATAAGGACTACCTTCAACTCGCCTATAAAGACTCCCTTCATATCGTCTCTAAAGACTCCCTTCATATCGTCTCTAAAGACTCCCTTCATATCGTCTCTAAAGACTCAATTCAGCTCGCCTATGCATACTCTCTTCAGCTCGTTTATAAGAACTACCTTCAGCTCGCCTAAAAAACTCCTTAGAGCTCGTCTCGTCTACCAACAGTTCGTCGATGAAGACACCTAAACATCGGCTACAAAGACTCCCTTAAGATCGGGTATTAATACACCCAATACCTTGTCAGTAAACACTCCATCCAGCTCGTCTGTAAATATATCATCTAGCTTGGGAGGAAGACTCCCTCTATTTCGGGTATAAAAGCTCCCTTCAGATCGTCAATAAATACTCTCAGCAGCACGTCTATAATGGACTCATTCAGCTCCTCCAAAAAAACCTCCCCCTCGCCTAAAAAATTCCCGACGTAGGCTCGTCTACAAAGAAAATTGTTTAAATACCCGCAAGCTATATCGTAATGCTCATTTTTATTTGTTGATTGTTTACAATCAATACCTAAATGTTCAAACAAACATATTAAACAAAAAACGAACCAAACAAAAGACTGCTAGAATGCTTCCTGCTGCTGTTGCTGTTTTGTTAATACAGATATCAAAAGTCAAGCCAGTCGGATTTCTAACGTCCAACAACAGCAGCAACATCGAATACCAAAACAATCACAGCCATTATAATTTGTTTGAAAGATATTCCATTTGCAGTGGGCCTGATGTGATAGCTGGTTCGCCAGAAGCTGTAGCAGCCTCACAGGCAGCCACCGAAGTAACAACAATAACGGGAGCAGCATCAACAATAATAATAACAGCAACAACAACAACAATAGCAGCGACATTACAATTGAATTGTTCATCTGTTCGATATGGTTTCGACCATAATCCGCATGTACAGCGAATAGACAAATACGGACTTTTAATGGTTAAACAAACAAACAAAATGTAATTGTACATTTGTGGGTATGTGTGTGTGAGTGTATCTAGAAGCAAGTTAATACTTATTAATAACAATAATCCTAGTAACGGTTTTGTTTTCCTTTGTTGTTGTTGGAATTTACGATTGTTCACTGATTTGATTATGGATGTATTTTTGTATCATTTAAGGTGCGCTTCTAGAAAAGGTGCACAGTGATTTCAAAGATGCACAGAAGTGATCAGGAGGGGTCTTTAGCAGAATGGAGTCTTTCATAGACGAGCTGAAGCAGGGAGTCTTTATAGGCGAGCTGAAGCAAGGAGTCTTTCATAGTCGAGCTGAAGCAAGGAGTCTTTCATAGATGAGCTGAAGCAAGGAGTCTTTCATAGACGTGCTGAAGCAAGGAGTCTTTCATAGACGAGCTGAAGCAAGGAGTCTTTCATAGACGAGCTGAAGCAAGGAGTCTTTCATAGACGAGCTGAAGCAAGGAGTCTTTCATAGACGAGCTGAAGCAAGGAGTCTTTCATAGACGAGCTGAAGCAAGGAGTCTTTCATAGACGAGCTGAAGCAAGGAGTCTTTCATAGACGAGCTGAAGCAGGGAGTCTTTCATAGACGAGCTGAAGCAGGGAGTCTTTCATAGACGAGCTGAAGCAGGGAGTCTTTCATAGACGAGCTGAAGCAGGGAGTCTTTCATAGACGAGCTGAAGCAGGGAGTCTTTCATAGACGAGCTGAAGCAGGGAGTCTTTCATAGACGAGCTGAAGCAGGGAGTCTTTCATAGACGAGCTGAAGCAGGGAGTCTTTCATAGACGAGCTGAAGCAGGGAGTCTTTCATAGACGAGCTGAAGCAGGGAGTCTTTCATAGACGAGCTGAAGCAGGGAGTCTTTCATAGACGAGCTCAAGCAGGGAGTCTTTCATAGACGAGCTGAAGCAGGGAGTCTTTCATAGACGAGCTGAAGGGAGTCTTTCATAGACGAGCTGAAGCAGGGAGTCTTTCATAGACGAGCTGAAGGGAGTCTTTCATAGACGAGCTGAAGGGAGTCTTTCATAGACGAGCTGAAGGGAGTCTTTCATAGACGAGCTGAAGGGAGTCTTTCATAGACGAGCTGAAGGGAGTCTTTCATAGACGAGCTGAAGGGAGTCTTTCACAGACGAGCTGAAGGAAGTCCTTCACAGACGAGCTGAAGGGAGTCTTTATAGAATTGAAGGGAGTTTTTATAGAATTGAAGGGAGTCTTTATAGAGCTGAAGAGAGTCTTTATAAACGAGCTGAAGGAAGTTTTTGTAGGCGAGTTGGAGGGAATCTTTTTCCGATTTATATACATTCCTTATCAACCAAATCTTGCTCGTCTACATCTGATTACATTTGCAACTGCTGTGGTGTGCACCTATGTAATACCACTGTTGTTATTGCTATTTTTATTTTAGCCTTTTCTGAATTTGAAAATTTATAGCTTCACTTTGCTATGTGATGCTATTTTAATTAAAATAATTTATTATTTTATTCCAATCCGCAAACTCAATACGCGGCGACAATTCTATTCGATTGTTAGATGGAGCTCCAAGCATGGCCCTGATATTGGAGGCATCTTTTGTGCTGTTGCTGAAGCTAAATTTGGAATTTAACAATAAATGTCATTTTCGCACCTGATTTGGTGTGACCAAAACAAAGGTCAATATGGGTTAGGTAGGTGCATTTGATTTAGGCATGGTTATATGAACAGTTCGACAAACTATTATCTTAAATCAATGGAGGGGTCAAATATCAGCTCAGGCATGCAAGTGATATTGAACAATACATTTCCGATTTGTAATGAAATTCTAAGATTGCTAATAATTCTGTAGATAAAATCCCCCTTTCCCCTACTTGTGTGTGTGTGTGCGA